CCGCTTCACCAGGGCCCGCCGTAGACGCATCCGCGACCCCGCGGTGGAGTCCTCGTTATACGAGGACTGCCGCGGGGCGAGGGTGGAGCTGCAGGCGGCCATTAAGAGGGCCAAGGCCGGCGCCTGGAGCGAGCTTCTCCGTACTCTGGACGGTGACCCGTGGGGGCGGCCGTACCGCATCGTCCTCGGACGTGTGCGGCCCGCCGCTCCCCCGGTCACCGAGAGTCTCGACCACCCTGTGCTCAAGCGTGTGGTCGGCACCCTTTTTCCGGACGATCCGGAGGAGGGTTGCCGACCTCTCGAGCCGGCGGTCCAGTTCACCTGGTCCGCCGACATGGGGGTCGATGAGGAGGAGTTCGCGGGGGTCGTCGCGCGCATCGGTGGCCGGAGCAAGGCTCCGGGGCCGGACGGCATCCCCGGGAAGGCGCTGCGCTTGGCCCTGCGCGTCCTCGGACCCCGACTCAGGCGGCTGCTGGACGGCTGCCTGATGTCGAGGCGGGTCCCGCTCGCGTGGAAGCGGGGACGGCTGACCCTGGTCCCGAAAAAGGGCAAGCCCGCCGACGACCCTTCGGCGTACCGACCGATCTGCCTCCTCGACGAGGCGGGTAAGCTTTTCGAGCATGTGCTCGCTACCCGCCTCTCGAGGGGGCTGTCCGCGGGTGGTCCCGGACTGGCCGACTGCCAGTTTGGTTTCCGCGGGGGCCGGTCGACGCTCGATGCTATCGAGCGCGTCCGTGCCGTCGCGGAGCTGGCGGTCTCCCGGGGGGGGGTGGCGTTGGCTGTAAGCCTTGATATAGCCAACGCCTTCAACACCCTCCGCTGGGATGCGATACGCGGGGCGCTCCGTGAACACGGAGTGCCCCCGTATCTGCAGGCCGTTATCCGGGATTATCTCGCGGACAGAGAGGTAGAGTACCCCCGTCGTGGGGGTACTATGGTACGACGAAGGGTCAGCCGAGGGGTGCCCCAGGGGTCCGTATTGGGCCCACTTCTGTGGAACCTGGGGTACAACTCGGTGTTGTGCGGGCCCCTCCCACCCGGTGTGCGTGTCGTCTGCTATGCGGACGACACGCTCATCATCGGTGTTGGGAGGGACGTGACCAGGGCCAGCCGTATGGTGGAGGTGGCGGTGGCGCTTATCGCCAAAAGGATCCAGGCCTTGGGATTGGGGATCTCGCCGGCCAAGACGGAGGTAGTCCTGTTTCACGGGCTACCTCTGTCCCGGCGACCCCCCCAGGCCTGGATCCGAGTAGGCGATGCGACTGTCCAGGTCGGGGACCGATTGAAATATCTCGGCCTCGACCTGGACGGCCGCTGGAGGTGGGAGGGGCATTTCGACCGTCTCGTCCCCCGGGTGGAGGCGGTGGCGACCCTGCTGGGTCGCCTACTGCCTAACCTCGGGGGTCCGGAGGAGGCCGTCCGCCGACTCTATACGGGTGTGGTGCGGGCGATGGCGCTCTACGGGTCTCCCGTATGGGCGCCGAACCTGGCGACGTGCCGGCGCGGCAGGCAGCTCTTGAGAAGCCTGCAGCGCCGGATGGCCGTCAGGATCGCCCGCGGATACCGCACCCTATCCCATGAGGCGGCGGTCGTCCTCGCGCGGGTCGTTCCTTTTGAGTTCCAGGCGGTGGTCGATGCCGACGTCTACCGACGTCGGCTGGCTCACCGCCGGAACGGGAACGACCCGCCGCCAGAGACGGTCGAAATGTGGAGGCGAGCCGCTGGTCGGCTCGCCCGGGAGGAGTGGTGGCGCCAGCTGGTCGAGAGCGGCGCCACCCGACAGCGGGCTGTGGGGGCGATCCTGCCGGTCTTCGATGACTGGCTGGACCGCCGCCACGGCCGGCTGTCCTATCGCCTGACGCAGGTGCTCTCCGGGCACGGGTGCTTCGGAGAGTACCTGCGAAAGGTAGGGGCGGAGGCTACGCCCGGCTGCCACCAGTGCGGCGCGGATCTCGACTCCGCGCAGCACGCACTGGAGGAGTGTCCCGCTTTCTCCTCGGAGAGGCGGGCTCTCCGACAGGCAGTCGGGTGGGACCTCTCGCTCCCCGCCGTGGTCGCGGCCATGGTGGGGAGCGAGAGGGCGTGGAGGGCCATGTCCTCCTTCTGTGAGACTATGGTCTCGCGGAAGGAGGACGACGAGCAGGGTCGGGAGTTAACCGACCACGCTCGCATCGCGAGAAGGAGGGCAAGGCGCGCCGGTGGTCGGCGGCTGGCCGCCGCCCAGGCCGCAGGGGGGCCTGGTGCCCCCTGAGCCCTCCCTCCTCTCGGCCGCTCGCGGGGCGACCGGCGTGACGCAGCGACCCCGCACAACAGGCTTCGCCGTGCCCCTGGGCACGCCGCCTGTGCGGGGTCGCGTGGCCCGGGCGTCGGTGCTGCCGCCGGGGCGGTGCAAGGGGATTTCCCCTTCCTTCTTCCCTTCCACCTCACTTCCTATCCTCCCTTTTTTGTTTCCCACCTTCCCTGCTCCCCCCCCCCTCCCGCCCCAGGCGGCGCACATCTTTTTCGATCCCTGTGGACCGGGGAACAGAGAATACGGCCACGGTAATCCCTGCCTGTCGTAAGAGGCGACTAAAAGGGAGAGGTGGAGACCGCGGGACTGTGGCACCCGTGGTCCAATGGGGGGGGGTGGGGCTTCTTGCCTCCCCCCCGCCAGAGAGGGCGCTCCGTCAATGACATCTTGACGGAGCCGGCGCTGGGGAGGTACCGGTAGTGTTCGCAAGAGATCCCGGTGCCTCCCCGCACAGCGCCGAGCCCGGCCACCGTGAGGTTTTAGTGGGTATTCCTCCTGGGCATCCAGCCCAGGGGGCGAGTCCCACACTACCCCCGCCCCTCCCCCCTCGGGGGGGGGTGCGGGGGTGTGCGTAACGCATTTCCTCACGTAAAAAAAAAAAAAAGAAAGGCAAAGTAACGCGACAATTTAAAGCTAAAGGAGATTTTTTCATTTTGAAAATGCAGCCGATTTTTAATTTGTAAGAGAAGTTAGAAACAAAATAATTTCACTAACATTTTCATCCTTAATCAACTATTCTAGTTATTTTACTATGTATAGTCTTTAGTAATATGTAGACTGCGGATTTTATGCATTTATAGCTCACAGGGATCTGTGAAATACAATAAAAAAACAAAACTTTCATCGGATCCAATGATTTTTCTGTTTTAGTCTGAACCCTATAAAGATACTTCAGGGGAAAAATAAATTTCTCCATTTGCTCCTGTCTTAATAAATTATTTTAGAAAATGTTATTTTGCATGAAAATCCGCAGTCAGGTAATATGTTAATGTCTCTCGAAGGATTTTTCAAACTTTCTTGAATAAATTAGAAATTATAACTATTGAACTAAGAAACTGATCATAATTTTTGGCAGAGGGCAAAAAGAAGTACATATATCCTAACTTTTTTTTCAAATTTTTCAATAATGCCCTGCCATTATAATATTACATTTCTTTAAAACAATTGCAAAATAAATGGCTACAAATTTTTTTTTTAACTGAAATAAGTTTTTATTAGGTACTCTTAGTTCAATAGTTATAATTTATTGAAAAATGTCAGCACTATATTTCAAACAGCTGTGAAATGGACAATTTTTGAAATTTTGTAAAATCCTTTGAGGCACGTTTATATGTTACTAAAGACTACAACGAATCCAAGTTTCAACAAAATCCGAAATGTTATTCTCAAAAATGTCCGATTTCTCGTGGTATGACCCAATAATGAAACATGCCACCATTTTCAAGCTGCGAAAACACCACGAACTGTCTGGGGTACGTAAAAAATGTTGGTTTTGTTTAATGTTGCGTAATGCTTACCAAACACGAGGCTAAGGGCATATCCGAATGGGGCCTGGCACCAAACAAGACCTCTCGTGTAAATCGCTTCTGCTGTACCATTGATGTAACCACCGCCCACCCAAGTCGCTGTCATCGTAAATATTCCGACAAACAGTCCAATCGAACGACCCGCTAGCATGACTTCCTCCTCGGAGTCGTTTCCAGCCTCTTTCTTCCTGGCCGCCCATATCCCTACGGCTAGGATCAGCACGTAGAACAGAGCGATTGATACGATACCAGCGAAATTGATCATCTTCGGTGAGTACGGGTCCACCTGCGTGAACTCGAACTGACGCAGATTTGTCGATCGATCTGATTTCGAGAAGTTTGGATACCTGTGGACGAAAAGAACATCCCGTTAGTTAACAGGAATTGAAAAAAGAATTATATCTTGCAATTTAACGGAAGCTCAGACTTCAATTTTTAATTATCATATATTCTTTATCAGAGGAAACTTGTGAATCAATTCGACATCAGTAAGTTTTATATTCGAAAATTCATTCTATTTCAGCTTGAACCAAATTTACTTCAACGAATAATAATCCAATAATTTATTGAATAGTGGACGAAGCATAAAGGTTTTAAGTGTTTGGTCTCATTTCCGTCAGCAAATGGTCAGCGATTGATTACATACACACACACATTTTTACATTTATGTTATAAAAAAAACACGGAAATTTTATTTTTCCTAGCCATAGTTCATTATGTTTGCTCATATGGTTGTTTGTGTTCGAGAAACGAAATATGCCCTCGCTATCTACCTCGCTCGCGAGGGTCCGGACCCGCAGTGGTTAAAATGCTTCTTTCCTGTACGTATGTATAATTTAAGAGTATTTATTTCTTTATTATTTTCAATTTTGATTCTGCAATACACAAGTACTCGATAGAACATTCCTAAATCGTTCAAGTGAACGTAATGGCCCTATATTTTGGCCAACACGTTCGCCTGATCTGACGCCATTGAACTTTTTCCGTTTGGGTATTTGTGTTAGAATTTGATCAAATTTTTGGTGTTCCAAGTCATCTGAAGGTGATAACTCAGACATACTCGAATGCATTTTTTAATTTCCTACAAGATACAGTAGAAGAAATATATGCTTTCCTGCAAAAAATACCACTGACGTTGAAAAACACAAAAAAAATGACTTTAACACAATTTTTTCTTTCATAGTATTCCTCTGTCGCAACCATTCAAATTGTGTTTTAAACATTTCTCATACCATTAAAACGAAAGAACACATTTAGTTTCCCTTCAGCAGATAAACTCAGTATATAACTTTAAAATGTTATTTTGCGTTTAGGGCCGATTTTATGGACACCTCCCTGTACAATTTGTATGTGATATGGTCCGCCATCATAGTCGCTTGCAATACAGACTATTTTATAGAGGAGACTTCACGGAATCTGGCTATATTTTTGCCGATTTTCAACTGGCAGATCTCGATGCGGAAATTGGAACATAATTATTTGTTTCAATTTTTATATTGTAAAAATAACTTAACAGACAGAACAATAATTTATTTAAAAAGGCCAACCCTTTACGAATAAAATAAAAAAAGACAAACTCCATGAGATTAACAATATCGCAGATAAAAATTATTCGGTGCGGCCAGTTTTCGTAAAAATCGTTCAGTTAGGCAAAAATCAGGAATTCCAAGATCTTACATTTTTTAAACAATTTTGAAATAAGAAAGATTATGAATTAACTTCACACGGACTGACACTTTCTTAATTGAAATGGGAGTAAACAAATACATGTATAAATGTTAAAAAGCAAATACACTCTAAAAATTGCAAAAAGAGAGAATGATATTCTAAAGTCGTTGTTAAGTTTTATGGTTATCATTATCACTACTAGTTCGCATAAAAGTCGATGTACTAGTTTATACCTGTTATTTGTATCTAATCTACAGTTATATTTCTTGTTACGCAAGTTATCAGTATTAACTAAGTTATTTATTGAAATAGAAGATGAACGTATGCAATGGATTCGCAGTTTGTGAGTCAGGTAATTAAGTATTTTTCGTAAATCGAAGACATTGCTTAGTCTATGAGGCTAGAATTGATACAAAATCTATCATCATTTGTAAATTGCAGCCTACTTTTCTACTCAATTAACATCGCGGTCGACACGCTCGTACCTAACGCGTGCAATTAGCTGTAAATTCTGTGCTCCTACCCAGCGGACATTTAAGTCGCTTGACTGAATTCACCCTGTAATCCCATTACTCCCGCTTCACCCCATAGAGTACCAGTCCTTGCATAAGGGACACATACTAACATGAAAAAGTAGTGCCACGCATGTAAATCGATCAACGAAGTGTTCAAGGTCTATCTATTAGATACACTATAATTACTAAATAAAGTAAACAAAACTGTAAAATTTAGTTAGACTTAGTTTTCCGAAAGAATGTAACTTATTTAAAAACTTTATTTAAATTTATGATATATAAAGTGAATACCTAGTAAGACAAAGTTAACATAATAGAAATACATTAGTTGGGAGGGGGGGGGCGGGATATTTCATTAGTCGGGTAAATGTCTTTAGGATCTAAACTATTTAATTCTTAATAATAATGAATTAGATATAAAGGTACCTATATCTTAACTCGATAATGATTATTTAAAGGAATACACTACAAAATTAAAGAAGAGATAATATTTTAAGCATATTGACTTACTTCTCATATTTTAAATATATCCTATAGTATCAGTATACATTAGTATACATTAACACTTTAGGGTCATACTTTAAATATTTTGATTAAATATCTTTTAAAAAGCAATTTGAACGAAAAGAAAGTGGATAAATAACAACATAATATGTATATAAATTAAATATAATTAAACATAAGGAACTAAAATATGTTGTCAGCAACGAGAAATGGTAAGTGTTGTATAGCATAAGTGATAGAAAAAATGTAAAAAAAAGATAATTATATCCCAAATAAACATCAACTCTATTACACTGTAAAATTAATTATCATTGTGGCAGGAGAGATGTGAGGAACTATTAAAGTTGCAGGAAAACAAATTGACCAGTAACAGCGTAAAACCTAATAAATTTGTACATTCTTATTATTTTGAGTCACTATCTACAAAGACGTCATTCAAGATTTTTAATCCTGTTATTAAATAATTATTCAATATATTTCACATTCGTTACATTAGTAAATAACGTAGTCTTCAATAGAGCATCAGAGAAATGTTTCACTTATAATCAATTTTTCCCTTGATTAGGTTGCACGAAAAAAGACCAATTGCGATATATAGGGACTTCTGACGATACGTCAACAGCGAGAAATACACATAAGGGAACATTCAGTTTTGTAATTTACTCTACTCTCTTACAATAATTACGTAATATAAAGTTTATGTAAATGAACAATTCTGTTGACATTTAATTTCATAATTCGTTTGTGTAATGAATGTACCAAACATGGAAAAATTACTTCATAATAAAGTTAAATATTTTTGATCATTTTAAAGAAAGACAACCCCAATGCGGCGTTCAAAGATCTTGAAATTATCATATATTTGCATTTCCACATTGCGTCGTCAATCGACTGTTGTTGACGCGCTGTAGACGCAGCAGTAAAGCTATAAATCTCTCAACCACTAATACGTTCTCCCATATTCTGTTACTTTTTGGCTTTTGACGTCAACATTGGTAACCTTGCAAGTCGCTAATTTCTATAAAAGCGAGCATATTCGTACAGCAAAGAATGCACCAGAAATCTAGAATGCGAGAATTGATTTTCGTTTCATTGCCATGTCGGCGTAATTTTAAGCCAAAGGACTTGTATCGTTAGCGCACAATCGCAACTTGATTCGTTTAATATTCAATTGCGCGAACATTCGTTCTCAATAGGCATTAAAGAAAAGGAAATAGTAGAGTTATATTCATTAACTATATTCTTTAGATATAAACACAGACAGTCAGCCACTTTAAATTTCATTGGAATTGCTTGTAAAGTAAAACATTTGAAGAATTCGATACCATGAATGTTTCACCAGTTCATCCATTCGCACAGCCAGAAAGCTATCGATCTTTCCGTGAAAAATTCTTTCCTTTTGCAAAATTGTTAAAGTGTGATTCTTTTTTAAGATGCAGAATATGTAAACGTATAACTTTCGACATGTTCCATTGCGAGCAAGTATCTTTTTTATAGGACATACACATAGATGTACATATTAGAAGCTGTGGGTCAAATTTTGCGTGCTATTTTATCTCACTTGCCCGTAATATACAGAGTGTTCACTCTAATATTCTGCATGATTTGACAGTTGTTTGAAACAATATAACAAAGAAAGTTAATAACCAAAATGTTTCAAGTGAACAACATACAACGATAAGAAACATTTCAAAAATAAATTTGTTCATATTGGACTCAAAGTGACCTTAAGTTTTTTAAATGGAACTATATGTATAATTTTTCAGTGCAAAATATGACACTTTTATTCACACTCATTGACACAATACTAAATTTTCTATTTCGCGAGTCATCGCACGCTTTCCATTTCCACTGCTGTAAATTTAGTATTGTATGAATAAAAATGTCATATTTCGTTCTGGTCTAATTCATCTTAATATCCCCTAGAATATAATGAACAAAAATTGTACGATTCCATTAAAAAAAACTTATGCAGACCTTAGGTAAGTTGTAATATTGTTCACTCAAGACAGATAAATTTTTGTTAATAATTTTTCTTATCACATTAACAGAAACGGCTGAAAAATCGTGTGGACTATTAGAGCGAACACCTTGTATTTGCTTGTAGTCCACTTCTACATATACACGCATTCAGTTGACATTCAGTTCGATCAGAGTGAATAAAGATGAAGTAGAGAATCAGAATTACATACACACCAGTCAAAGGGTGCATTAAGTTAACAATCTTCCACGTAGTTATCTTAAAAATCGGAAGCACATACTTCTCCACGCGACAAATATTTCATGCTATCCAATTTTGTAATGTATCCTTCATTATAGTGTTTATTAATTAGTTTAGGCACTGCTCAAACAATGTTAAGCACACTTTACTAGTTTAGCAACAGAAATTATAATTAAAAACAGATAAAGTCTATTTGTTAGCTGAGCCAATAACATTTATCGTTAATCCTATGTTTTCCATCATATGAAAAAATAAAAAAAAACATACCACGTCAACTTTATTCTTAAAGTTACGACTTCTATGCTCTCTAGTCGGTGTTTCTTTTTAAGTGCAGCCTTTGTATTTGAAATTTTAAAT